ATCAGCAGGAACATAATTTTCTTCATTTTCTACTCTAGCTGTAATGAAATTTCAATAGCAAACTTTGTTTTTCACACTAAACAAACATGATGGGCAATATGAGAAAAACACAGAGATAAAACGGAGTATCAAAAAACAGCCTTAAAAATAAACAAACTTCTACCAAATGGCAAATAATTGCCATTCAAACTGCCTTTTAGAAAGATAAAGTTAATATTGTTCCTACGTTCCCCTGTAAAATGGAAAAATGAAAGCTCCACTCCACTCCTCTTGCTTGGCGGCAGCAGCACTCAAAATTGCAACCCTAGTGCTCGGGCATGCAGAAGGCTGGAGGCAGCATCCTTCCTGCCTGACCTCCCACAGACCCACCGATTTACTGTGCGGAGAACAAAAGGCAGGGCAAGGTGAAGAGCTCACACACAGCTTTGAAGGACTGTACCAGATGCAAGACTGCAGACAAGCAAACTACTCGTTTCATAGCAAAAAGCACTTTTGCAGAAGGAAGCACGACACTGAAAGAGGTTTTCTGGAGACTGAGAGCGCTCTTGCAGATAAAAAACAGGAATATTTTCTTCCCCCAACTTGATAAATTTGCTGTAGGTGTCTATGATTTCCAAATCAATAAGCAAGTGCCAATTTCATGCAAGCATTTAACTTGGAAGGGTGACCAACTCATTGCTTTTCCTTCCAGCCAAGAACAGCAGATGCTACACCGCTCTGTGCAAGTATCGGTCCCTAACGGGTATTGATGACTGGATCAAGCCACCTTGGCAAAAGAAAAATACTACTGAATTGTGGGAACTCTTGCCATGCTCAGGAGCTGCTCAGCGAGACCCCGCTTGCCGGCAGCACGACATTTAGGAATCACACATTTTCTCTCTGTCCAGATTAGAAGACATCCCTTGCTAAGGCTCGGAGCAAGCTGCAGATTCTCTACAATCCCCAAGCAAAAGTGGACTGCAATCCAATTTCCCATTTCAAGAAGGCCAGAAGAAACATCCAGACACTAACCCCCATACACCCCGGTTTACACATCAGCTGTCTGCATCCTTTCAAAGGCCAGATGAAAGTTGATAACCTCAGGCAATGATATGAACTATTTCAGAACAGAGGCAGGTGAACACCCAAGACCCAGAGTCTAGAGAGTGCCCACCCGGGAGCATGGCCTGGAGCTCAATAAATAGACCCACAAAGCATAAGGCAGCATCTAGTGTCTGTCGAAGAGGAGCCATTAGAAGGGATGGATCATTCTCAACTAATTTTAGTAACAAGATCACTTAAGATCCTTTGATTAATTATTCAGTTAATAGTACACACCAAGCTGGTCTTTGGCATTTCTGATCTTGGAATAAACTTTGGGAAGTACACGCATTGGAAAGACAGGATTTTGAGAAACCTCACATTTACTTTGCTTTCAGAAATGTCTTCAGCAGCAGCCCCTGTGCCGGGTTGATGAGTTTTACATCTGCTGCTTTGGTGCCAGCGCACTCTAGAGCGATCACTGCTTTCCAGGGGATATTTTGGGTGGGTGGCAAACCATGCACCACTCACATGGGCAACACTCGATCTACCTGCTGCCAGAACGCTTTATAATTAACCAGACTATTATTTTTTTAAGCACTTACTGTAAGACTCCTCATTTGAAATTGGATTCTCTTTTCATCTGCTTTTTGGACAGATTTTTTTCTCTCTAGAGGAATAAGAGTCACACTGGAATATGACTCAAAGCTGGCTTTCGTTTGTATTTCCAAACAGCCTAAACTACTCAGGCTTTTGAAGACGGGTTCCTCTTGGAAAAAGAAAACCCACCAGTGGGCTGCGTCCTTTGTGCCGGTGCCCAGTGCCGTCACTAGCTGCTGGCAGGGGGGGCTCCCACCGGGGGCCCACAGACCCATGGCTTTGTGCCGATCTCAAACACCGCCGGTGCCAGACACTTGTCAGGGGGCTCACAAACACCTCAGACCCCGCCAAAGGCAAGGGCAGTCAGAGGGGACCCTGAGGGAGAGACAGCAAAGGCAGGTGGAGGGGCTGCTAAGGAGTTTGTCACCTTAATTTGATAGCTCGGCGCAGCCTGCAAAAGCTCGATTCTCAGCGAGAGCCATATTTAGTGTCAACTTTGATGCAACATAAAACTAAAGCAGACCTAGAGCCCCCCTCTGCCATCATTTTTCCCTGCTGCTACTGCAGGGAAATGCAGTGATGCAGAGAGTGCAGTGCTGCTCGTGGATCCGTCCACTTGCCCTTGCTGCCTTGCCCAGGCTTTGTACAGACAGAAGTACAGCCACATCAGGCTGCTTGGATCAGAGCAGAGGCAAAGCATCTGCAACAGCAGCTGCAGGGCTTGGGCTGGCCTCCATGCAGCTGAATTCCACCTTGAAGAGAAGGGGGCTCGTTTCTATTAAGTGCTAGAGTGATCACTGCACCGGGGATGTTTTGGACCGGAGGCAAAGCAGGCATGGTCCAAGTGCAGGGGATACAGAGAGATCACAAAGAGACAAGACCACAAATCATTCCAGTTTGTTGTGTGTAAAACAGCTGGATAGGACAATGCTTACAGAGATTCACACCGTTACCTTTTGTAGCACAGCGAAGCTTTTAGATAAAGTGGAAAAGCTGAAGAGCCATTTAAATGCCCTCAGGGGTAAAACTAAGCATCATTTCAGATGCTGTAAAGATCAGGTTGCACTAAAGAAAATGGCCTGAAAACATCACCAGGACAAAAGAAGTCATAGTGACCATCACGCTGAGAGACAAACCAAGCAGAAATGGAGATTTTGCAAAGTTTTGCAAAGCGAGTTGCGCCCCTGCAGCCTCCGTGGTGCGTAGCTCTCCGGGGCAGCACTGCCCCTGCACACGAATGCCGTGATCCAAAGGCTCTGTGAAACAGTGGGGTGTCAGCACGGGGAACTTACTTGGTGTTATCCGAGTCAATAGTATGAAAGAGCTTCTCAAGTTCTTCTTCATTGAGTGTCCCATCAGAAAAAAAGGCCTGGAACTCCTCCAGGGACAGCCTCCCGTCATCTGCAAACAGCAACACAGCCGCTGTTAGGGAACGGGCAAAGCGAGGGGCACAATGACTGAAAATCAAGAGTTACGTTCAGATTTAAAGATTCAGACCAAAAATTATCTCCAAGTGCTTCTGCAGAACTGGTCCCACAACCAATGCAGAGCTCACTGGCCACAGGGTGGGACCTGGCAGCACCGGAGCCAGTTGGAGCTTCATTGCTCCTGGGTATGGACGCACTGGCCATTAGCAACTAATTAGGCTATTAACCCAAAGCATGACTCAAGCCTAAAGAGGAAAAGCCTACAAGCTTCATCCTAAAAATGCGTTACATTTAAGAAATTATGGAGCATTTTGTTTACCATATGTTCAAATGATGCAGGATGCTCATTAAGGGACGTATAATAGATAGGCAAAGACCTAGGGCTGGAATTAACGACGGATCCACCAGTATCTATTGCCATCTCCATCCACCTGCATCCTCTCCAACACAGTGCATCTCCCAGCTCTGGACACAAATGCAAAACAGCAGCTACCAAGCATAACAAGAGACATCTTGCTTCATTTGCCAACTGTTTAAACACACAAGGACTGTGTCACCTTAATATTGTGCCTTTACTTCTAAAGGCATCTGATGACGCACAAAATCCATCTGCCCGGCCATACGGGCTACAGCTTGCTGGGTGCCTTTTGGCAAACCCACCAGCACCTGAAGGAGTTCCAAGACAGAGGTTTAATAATGTTCTCCTGGGTACCTAGAGATGAACTTGCAGTAATTTCAGCAGCAAGCTCCAAGCTCATCCTTGAACATTTGTTTTGATACCGGCTCTGGCCAGAAGTGCACAGGCACTTTAGCAGCCTCAACCCCAGCTGTACAAAGTGGCCCTGCAGATAGTCAGTGCTTGGGGGAAAAGTGTCGCTGGTCTCAACTCGGAGATCGAAAAACAACATCCAGATTTGAAAATCTGGCCATACACTTTGCATATTATTTTATATATTGGCCCTAGCATTAATTTAATACTAGGCTTACTACCTAAATGACCAAGAAAGAAAAAAAAAATTTGAATCCACGTACAAAGGGATATAAGAAGGACTCCTTTGCAACTTTTGCTGATAAGGTGACAAAGGCTTACACCTAACTGTTAAACCTGGAGCCTTTCTCTGTGTGCTGTGGACAGATACAGCACACCTTTAAAGCCACAGCTGGAAGTGAGGTCTGGTGAAAGCTCCTATGAAGAAATTCAGCAATAAAGCAATGGGAGAGAGACAAAAGAAACTTTAAAAAAACTTTAATTTACCTCAAGTTTCTTGTTCAAGTCACTGACACTGTGCTCTGGTGTGCAGCAGTGCCTAGGGGGGCATAACTACCCCCGGTCACGTACTATTTAGAGTCTCTCCATTCATATCCACCAAAGATTCATAGACTGGAAATGCTGCCTACTTTGCAGTAGGAGAATGTATCATTTATTATTCAATCAAATCAATTATAAACCCTGTTGCTCCTCTTTCAGGAAATGATGCTAGAGGACAAAATTAGCCAACTTACCACATACACAACAGTATTTCTTCCCCAAACTAAGTCTGCTGCTCCTAAAACATACCTGCATTGCCAAATGCTAACCCAGTTTCCCTTGCCTGACACAGACAAATTTAGGCCGGTGACAAATTGAGTCCAAGATACTTATTTAATTGGCAATTACGAAAGGAACACAGCAGGAGAACAAAATCTACAGCAACACTAGGCGACAAGGGTATCATTGTCAGAGCACCACAATGGCTCTAGAGTGCGCCCAGCTGCCTGTATTGTTTTTCTGCGTTTCTTCCTCAAAACGTGACCTCTTTGCAGCAGGCAGGGTGCAGAATATCAATGCACAGCTCAGAGGATGGGTCCCAGATTTGCTTTCTGTTTCTGATTACAGAAAACTAAAGCATCTGTGCTTCAACACGTACCTATTGCTTGAAGCATCCCACCAGTGTCACCCGGCGGCTAACCCAGTGGTGACACTCTTGCTGAAGGAGATAAAAAGACTGTGCCCAGAGCAAGAGCCCCATCCACACCATCCATCTCCACCTCTACATATTGCCCAGCAGGATGAGAAACTTCCGCCCCAGTGCTCCTATTTATGCAGTATCCTAGCCAAGATCAAGGTTTTGTTTCTTCTGATCCTGACTGGTAATGAATGTACGCCTTCAAGCATCAAGATCAAAAGGATAACGGCATTTCTATCTCATGAGGGCCAAACAGTTCTTTTTCTAGGGTACAATTCCTGCAAACCTTAAATCAGTGCTTGTTCACCTCAAAATTGTCCTTCCACAGAGAGAGCAGGCAGAATTAAATTCCCAGGAAAGTCACATAAATCAACTTACTGGGAAAGAAAAATAGTAAAATCAAGTGATTTTTTTTCAGTAAAGTGCTTTAATCCAAATTTACCGTTCACTCACCTCTAAAAGACACAAAAGGTGTTTCTCTCAAAGTTTAAGGGAAAAACCTTTTTCCTTTACCTAGTTTATACCTTATAACTTGTCTCTTTCATTTTATTCTTGCTTCATTTTTTTTGAGTAACGCATGCCAGGCTGCATTTTTGCAGCAGCCTCTGAAACATCGGTGTTTAAAATCTGTGCCAAAATACTGCTCTGACTCCTATCTCACAGCATCCGGAGTCGCAGGTGAGAACAGGGGCGCAGGTACCAACACACACCAAAACTTTTTGGCATTTAAGAGCACAAAGCAATACAGGATGGGTGAAGGATCTAGAAGGAGGAGGTGACAGTGAATTTTATTTCATTTTTGTTGTTTGGAGACCCCACGGAACTGGTTGGTCCCTGGCAGGAATTTGAGTAAAAGTACAAATTTTACTCGTAAAGAGTGCTCGAGACTTTCATCCCCCAACAAATAACACCACAAAGAACCAGTCAGCTTAAAGCTGATCGTTATTTAATACAAGCTGGAATACTCATCTACAAACACACAAAGCAAAAGCCTTCCAGAGTAACAAGATAATCCTTGAGCTGCATATCTATAATTGTGAGAAAGCCTGAAAGCCCCAGGTTGCTGGAGCCTAGCAGGCAAGGAAGCCTTCAGGGAACTCGAGCGATAAGGGGAAGCAGACTGGGCTGGGATTTGGCAGTTAAAATTAAAATGATAGAAAATCCTGGGCAAGGAGGATTGACCACAACGTTACCGACAGCAGGTCCACCCGCCGGCGTGTGCTGTCATAAGAGCTGATGGAGACGCTGTGCTCCAGGAGCAGCCTTATCAGGAAAGTCACAGGAAAGCAAGCTTTTTCTGAAAGCAGAAGTGTCCACGCTCGCCAAAGAACAGATAAGACTTCCAGAAACTTGCTTTTTGCTGAAAGCTCCTGGGTGCGAGAGATACAAATTCTCCAGATGAACTGTCAGGCGTTGTAGCAGAGTGGCAGCGTCAATCGTACGGTCCGACCTCACCCATGCCCTGCTCTGTAGGAGCTCATCTGGGGACACTTCAGCCCTAGGTAGCTACTGTTGATAGGAAGGATAATAGAAAAATTGAGATTCCACATCAAATCTCACTAAACAAAATAAAGCTTCCATCAGTTTTAAGAAGTCTTTGTGACTTTCATCTGGATGAGCACACTAAAGGCAGACAACTTTCTTTCACCTACTCACCCCCCTCCCCTTAAAACCAGTACTTGAAGTCAACACCTAAGCTGGCAGCAAGGACAAATGCCACCGACTAGAAATCGCCTACATTGGCGCTGATCGGCTGAGAAAAGAGAGAATCAGGCCACAGCTATTCTGCCATCATTTTTTCCTGAGAGAGTAATCTTCATTTTACTCTAGCTTTTCAAAATAATCCAACCACAGGCAAAGACCAAAGCAAATTACCAGCCAAACAGAGTTATCAAAGTTAAAACTAACCAAAGAGAGAAGGATATAACGGAGAACATCAGAAAGCCCCAACTGGGATTTTATTATTGCTCCGTTTGCCATCGTGAAAATCTGAGGAGTCTAGAGATGGTTTTTACGCCTACTAACTTGCACAATCAGGCTGTTCTCACCTGCTAACGCAGCCAGGGGAAAAATCAAACTAAGAACATAAATCGTCCAAAATATAGGAAATCTGATGGCTGGGTTTTTGGAAATTCACTCAGTAATACAAATAGCTTAAAGCGTCTACAAAATAAGGTCACTGTTCTGAGTCTGAGTTTGCTAAATTCATTTTCAATTACATCAGGTTGAGACTGCTCATATATTTTCTAGCTATATTATGAATATATTTCATTACTTATTTTTATTACTCTATGAGTTCTAAAGTGCTTTAAGCCCCGCTTAGTACGCAAGTGCCAGCAGAGCTACGGGTAAGCAAATTGGATTTTATTGTGGCCTGTGAATAAAAATGACGACTGCATTTTTTTCTTCTTTCTTGGGAGAGTGTGTGCAGATAGACGAGCCAGCAAGAACATGGACTGGCTTCTACCCTGGACCCTTCATCCAGTCCCCTCGGAAGTCAGCGGGAGCAGCTTTATTCATTTAAATGAAGTTGGATATAGACTTGAGTTTTCAGTCCTGGGCTGTTAGGAAAAATGACCTCCAGGTCCTGTGATGGATCTGAAAGATGAAGATCAGACACTAAATGTGACACCTCAAAACAGCCCTTTTAACAGAGTTTTTTAGCTGCAAAACCTGCCTCGAAAGCTGGATGTTATCCATGTTCAGGCAGCTGGACCCATTTTGGGATGTCTGCAGCGGGACTGCACCGATGGGGATGTCCTGAGCAGGCAGTCCATCGCTTATCGCCCCGTTTCCCTGTGCCATGGCTCCAACCGTAACGCAGATACACCTGGAGGTACCGGGAACTGCACCCCGAAAGTCGGCTGCAAGGGGAAGTCATACTGAACAGGGGAAAGGATAATGAAGCAAATAGGCTCCTAAGCCTGGAGAAAGCCATTTCATCTGCCATTTTCAGAAGAATTCAGTGTGGGTTTTTTTAGACCATTTATTTTCACCTAGATGCTGCCCAGATGAGTGTCTTGATGTCCTCCAACACCTTAATCTGTGGGTTTGGGTTGGCTGCTGGAGGATCCCAAATCAGGCTTGCTGAGCTGCCACTCTCATGTGAAGCTCATGGGCCATGTCCCCTGCGTCATCGAACGGCTGTGACTGCACCTTGCACGGCATCACACAACCTTTCTGCTGGCTGAAGAAGGGGTGCATTCACTGCAGCCCTCGATCTGCTCCCAAAGTCATCTGCAGCCAGCTGAAAATTATCCACCCACTCTGACTCCAGTATCACAGTGTTACTTCGGGGGCAATCGAATTTAGCTGGAAGGAGGCCTGGTAATTCACCTCCAGCTTTGGCTGAAGCTGCGAAGCCACAGGAGCTCTGCGTGAGAAGCACAGCCGACGTTTCGGTGGCTCCTTACAAGGACCGTGCCATTGCCACTGGAACGGAGCCCCTGCAAACATGTTTGCTAACGACATGTGACACACATCGTTACAAGGAAATTACTACAATTATAGTAATTTTCTAGTGAAAGGAATTTAAGGAATGACTACAAAATCACCTTTTTTTTTTGGAAGGTAACTAATGCCCAGCCCAGATGTTTTCACAAGGGTTGGTACCACACCAAGTGATCTGCACGGATAACCTGAGAGACAGATTGATGTTTCCATCACAGTTTATAATCTCTGTTTGAAACACTCCTGAGCGTTTCCTAATGCCGGCTGGGATTGCTGATGGGACCGGCTGGGTGCTGCTGGCACAGGAATGCAAAGGCTGGCACAGAAGAAGCCACAGTTTCCCATACAAAGCCGGGGATTGAACTTCAGAAGCTGGGGTTTTGCTTACTCAACTCATTGGGAAACACTTGATAAATGCTTTTCTTCTTGCCATTGACAGTTTCGAGGTGGTGTCTCCTATCTTCTGCCAGTGATCCCACCACAGCCCCCATGAGCATAACCCACAGCGCTCCTCGCACCGGGGCAGGCTGTGCCCGTGCACCAGAGCCCAGTGCAGCTCCACATAGAGCTGCCACAAGCAGCTCTACTTTCAGCATCACTGTTCTCTTTTTGCCGTGTGTTAATACAAACCTTTGGGATTTTTTTATCTTCCCGGGACATCTTTCCTTCCTATGCTCAGATGAGGCCTTATAGAGACATAAGTCGCACACAGCAAATGAAAGAACATCTCTTAAGAAGTCAGCCAATACCCCTCCCTAGTCATTTAGCCCAGTAATAAAGATCAGCTCTTCTTCAGTAATTTGAAGGTACTTCTCTCTGTATCAAAGCACGGAGTTCATCAAACAAAATATTAAGCCGACTTTGGTTTTTTTCTTTCTGCTCTGCAGCAGACGATGCAGTTTTGTGATACGACTGGAACTGGTGCATATTCAAAATCTTTCACGGGCACTGATATAGCTCTGAGGGCTCAGAGCTCCATATATCTCAAAAGGGCACTGAGGCTCCTTTTTGTGCCAGGGTTAACCTTTTCATTTCCATTAAAAAAGGGGAAAAAGTGACTTTCATTTCAAAATGACCACATCAGTCAGCATAAGATGTTGAGGAATGACTTAAAGCCTGGTTCTTGCCTCGGATGATGAATATGCATGTACCAAGCAGACGATGGCAATCTTCCCTTTAGGACCTGGCCTGGGGAAAAGTGGGGATTTCCACTGTAGTCAGAAACCTGCACCTCGTTCTCACCAGAAATAGCCTGGGCATCCAGCAATGTCCATTAACGTGCCAGAATTTTCCCCAAGCTGCTCAGCTTTTATCATCAAATCAAGCCTTTTGTCATCCTAGAATTAGAAGTAATTTTGAAATTATTTTCAATAGCAGCTATAGATAGATACCAAATGTAGGCCAGTAGGCAGGGAGACATGCAGGAGTGATATAGCACATTTTCTCCCATTGTCTTTTGTGAAGACTCTACTTTTTTTTTCAGTTTCCCTGATAATCCTTACCCTGCTGTAAGGAGCCGATTTAAATGGGTTTTTTTCTGCACTCACCCAATATATTGACTTTGGATGTTTTATCACAGCTATTTAGGAATGTCTTCCAAAGAAATTCCCAGTTCTTTACAAATTAAATGCTGGGATCAGACTTCCCCAGGGTGCAAACAGCCTGGCCAGGTTCAATGCAATTGCTGTTTAATAGAGGCTATAACAAACCTTACCCAAACATTTAGAAGAGGATTCAGACAGAAATGCCAGTAGTCCACAAAGCTTTCTTAATCCACCATTTTCCTATGCAAAACAGGAGGTAACCTGTTTCAGTCTTCCTCTCACTAATTAGATTTCTTTTCTTGCAATTTAAAAAGAAAATGAATAACTGCTGATTTCAATACATTTGCTTCACAACTGTAGTGGCACAAGAAAATACTGAGTCAGCCCCTCCACGTGCTGCTGCTCTGTAATAATTCATGAAAACTGCAGGTGGTCTGGCCCCCAGGGTACTTTGTACGTGAACATGTTGGTCTAGCTCAGGGCAGACCAGTGGGAAAACATTCAGGAAAAGAAACCGCAGCTTTAGATAAGCGACCTCGTGGTAAACAGTTCATGTTAAGAGGCAATACCTGAACTCTCGATGCCTGCCTTTGGGCAGGCGAAGGGGCCAGAGGGGAGGCAGCCCGGATGGACGCGCACCAAGGGTATTTACTGGTCAGTGTGTAGCACACAGGAGACCTCAGGGATTCTGTGGGCTAAATACCATAAATATACTGCATATAATAAATAAATATAAAGAGACTGGGGACATACTTTCTCCCCTCTTTCTTCACTCTCTCTCCTCAGGAGATCTCCGTTTCCAAGCTGTTGCAGTCATCAGCAGACCCAGCTTAGCTCCAGACATACAACTGCCACTGCCTCTCAGTTATTTTTCATCTTAGTTGGCCTCAGCCTGTCTCCTTTATATTGGGTGCTATTAAATGGCTGACTGACTTTGAACAACCGTAGCTTTTTAGCACCTTTGATTTATTTGCCCATTCAAACCATTTCCCCTGTGAGTTACACAAGCACAAGCCACCATGGCAAAGCAGCAGACTCCTGTGCAGAGCTTGCAGCCTCCTGACCCAAACAGCCCAATTCTCTCTCCCAAAGGGTTTGGTTCTCCATGTATTCAAACATCTGCCTTGCTCTCTCCATCATTACTCAGCCCCATCTTTCTCTGTCGTCCTGAACGTTGTCTTCCTTCTCCATTAATGTGCCTTCAGCATCTTCGCTCCCCACACTTCCCACCCTCTTTTCCTTTTTGAACTCTTGGATGTAACATGCAATGATGTTGTAGATACAGTTGCACAAAATGAGGATTTCTGGTTTAGAGGGGATTGTATAGGGAGGAGTGGCTGAAACATCATCAACCCTTGATCCCTACCACTTGATCCCCAAAATTTCTGTTTATTGCCCAGGCAGCCTTATTGCAGACCCCTTCTTTAGTCACCCTCCTGAAACGCTGCATTTCAAAAACACCAGCAAGCTCTCCACTACCAAACCTCCGGTCAAACCACACAAGCTACTGACAGCCTCCCTAAACATTTGATCTAAAGGGGAAATAAAACACAAAGACAGCACAGCTTGTCGTTAATACGAGACAACTCCGTGCTCCAGCGATCCCAAAGCTGTAAATCCTAACTTCAAAACTTCCTCCTTCCATTTAAGGCAAAATTCTCCCAAGGAGACCTTGCTAAAAGAAAACAGAACCTGCCTCCTACAGTGCCCTAAAAATGACTATTCTGCACGGGAAGTACTACAAACCATGAAAAATACACTAAAATAAATAGTGGGAGAAAAACTGATATTTGGATATGTATATTAAAATATTAAATAGTATAGCTGCTATTTTCACATACAACAAGTAGTTCATTTCTATGCATCAGCAAACCACAGTGTTACACGTCATTCCCTGCAAGGTTAAGTATTTCTTTGCATGTACAATAGAGGTGGCCTGGGAATCACAGAGAGATGTTTAAATTTGCTACTGAGCTCTGCCACCATCAAAGCAGAGGAGCGGGTTTATTTGGGAGACTTTTTTGCAATTCCCCACACACACATCAAAAGCTACACATGGTTTCAGGCTGTTGCAAGGCTCTTACCACGTGGCTCTGCCACGGTCCTCCTCCAGATGCATCACACCGGATTCACTGAAAGGCAGAAAGCTCGGGGTGATGGGCAGAGATGAAAAGCCACGGCAGCGCTCGGCATGCTCTCTTTCAGGTCTCCTACAATAACGAGATGGGGCCTAAGGGAGCTCATGCATTCCTGGACTCCAGGTTACCTTCACCTTATCTGAACAAAAAGCCTCTGAGAAGCTACCATGGGTAACGTATTGCAGAGTCCCTTCTCTCCAGGGTGGCTGAGGACAGATCACATACATACACCAGTGCCTGACCTCCTGCTGTGTTCAGCAGCAAAGAGGGAAACCTGCGTTCCTCTGTAGGGACAAGTCAAAATGTCACTTCTGAAGCTTATCAGAAGATGACTTCATTTCCATCTCTGAGAGGGCAACCAAAATCTCCGTTTTGCTGAAAAGCAGACCCTGGCATTACAGCTCCCTCCTGCACCCAGTCAGACCGGGAGAGTACGACTGATAATCTTGGGCAATTGCTGGAGCAGCCACAGCGTGGGCACAGCAGCTCCAGCGCTGCTGTTGGGTGTACTCTGTATCCCACCAGATTTAGGGAACAGCTCAAAGACGAGGAGCCCCACAGCTCTGTGTATTGAGATGAGCAGCAAATCCGGACCACAGAGCTCACCCAGCATTCAGCCTACTTAGACAGCCGCAGCGCATGTATGCTTTGCCAAAGATCAGGCTGAACAGGA